CAAGACGTTTTGGCCCTGATACGTGATTGTCAGAAGTGGAAGAGAAGTGTCAGCCACAGCCATGGCTTCTCAGCAAGATTTTGTGGGCCGAGTGATTGGGGCCGCTTCCCAAGGAGCAGTTGGTGCTGTGGTGGCAGCTTCGCTGAGCGCTGTAACGGAGCCCCTAGTGAACGCCATGCTGGTGAAGCGAGTCTCTTTGATGGAGGCATTGAAGCTTTTGGATCCTGAGATGATCAAGAAGTTCTTGCAGACCACCCTTGCTACCAACTTTATCAAGTTTCCCTTCTTTGAGGCCACTAACATCATCATGCAGGGCGTGGACCTGCCTCCCACGGCCAGGGGAGCTGCATTGGGATCCGTGTTTTGCACCATCACTCTTCCTATCACAAACTACCGCTTCCGCAAGTCTATGAACTTGCCAGTGACACCAGGCAATCTCTACCAGGCCTATGGACCGACTGTGCTCCGGGACATCATCTATGGCATTGCTCGCAACAAGGTTTCCGTCTTCCTCAACAACTTGAACCCCACTTTTGCAGGCACCATGATGGGCCGAGTTGTGAACATGTTCGCCACTGTCGTGGCGGCATGTGTTCTATCAGCCCCAGGCAACGAGTTGCGCGGCTACTGCTTGCAGCCACCGGACCGCAAGCAGTCCTTTGGCGACTTCTTCCAACCAGCCAAGTTCATCAGAAGCACATCCGTGGGTGCTGTGATCATGGGCATTAGCTTGGCCATTGGCACAATGGCGACACCGCAGGTGGAGAAGCTCGTCGGGGTTGTGAAGGAGTACTTGCAGAAGAACCCAGTGACTTGGTGATTCTTTTCAGATGCTTGTTGAACATGCTTGTTTTGCAATTCCAGATTCTGCACTGTGCGCAACGGTGCGAAAGAGGACTTGTTTGGGTGAAGAGATTTTTTTTCATGTCTTTTGTTCTATCGACTCTATCGACCGAGGTGAGCTATGTCTTGATCGTGCTCTTCGTGCTCCAGCAGATCTTAGCCATGAAGCGCCAGGGTGAACTGGTGGAGAGCATGGAGAAGAGGAGCCGGGTCCTGCGTGGTTTCTGCGCGGGTCTGCTTTTCATTGTGGTTGCCGTAGGTTCAGTACAATTCGCTGTATTTTTGTAGGTTCTGAAGTGTGAGTTTCTCGTTTTTTTCCCGAATGCGTAGCGAAGGGTTCCCGTTTATAGTTGGGGGTCTGGGGGTTGGACCTGTGTTTGCATGGCTTGCGTCGTGTCGTCGTCTCTCGTCGTCTCTCGTCGTCTCTCGTCGTCTCTCGTCGTCGTGTCGTCGTCGTCGCGTCTCAAATTTGCTGCCATTGGGGGAAGCTTTTGCAAGTGAGTTTGCATGGATGCGTCACGTGTCAGTTTGCACCGCTATTCCATTGTGATTTGCATGACAATGACATGTCGTTGCAAGAAACGAGATGCATTTCGCTGCACAGGCGCAGCGTTTTGTGAGATCCACAGATTGCTGCGCAGCTCCATTGGGATTAGCGTTTGGAGAGTCGTGTTTTTGGGGTGTTGGATGTGGCCGTGCCATTGGGATTTGCGTTTCAGGGTGTGGCATCGAAGCTCGGTTTTCGTGGCAAGTCTCAGCTGAAATGGCGATTTTGGTGGATGGGAGTGTGCTCAGAACGGGTCGAAATCATTCCAAACGTGTGGTGTGGTGCAAATTTTGTTGAAGCTCACATGCGATGATATTGTCACTTTTCGTGGCAGGCGCAGGACTTCGTGCGGGTTTTGAGGCGTGGAAGTGCGATTCTCGTGGCAGGCGCAGGGAATCGTGAGGTTGCGAGGTGTGACGGAGGTGACATTTCGTGGCAGGCGCAGTACTTTGTGCGCGTTAGACGTGTGGACGCGGAAAGATTCGTGGCAGGCGCAGGGAATCGTGAGGTTGTGAGTTGTGGTAGAGGTGAATGTCGCTGTCACATTGGGATTGGTGTGTGAGCGGATGTTGTTTGGAGGGGCTGGAATCGCGAAACTGCTTGGCAGGGCTGCGTGATGTATGTGCTCCCATGGGTGTTCCCGCTTGACTTTTGGAGGAAGTCTCGTACGAAACGCTCGTTTTGCAGACTTTGACGTGTGAGTTTTTGAGGAAGTCTCGTACAAAACGCTCGTTTTGGAGACTTGACGCGCAACCCTCTGCGGAGATCGTGCGTGTCGAGTGTGCGAAATGCAGGCGAGAGCGCGATTTGTCCCATATGCGCGCAACCCTCTGCGGAGATCGCGCGTGTCGAGTGCGCGAAATGCAGGCGAGAGTGCGATTTGTCCCATGCGCGCGCAACCCTCTGCGGAGATCGTGCGTGTCGAGTGCGCGAAATGCAGGCGAGAGTGCGATTTGTCCGGTGCCCGCGCAACCCTCTGCGGAGAGCGTGCGTGTCGAGCGCGAAATGCAGGCGAGCACTGGCGACTTTGTAGTGCAACTTTAGTACGCGAAGTATCTGGGGAGCTGGAAGATGAGAACTGGTGACTTGGTAGTACAACTTTAGTACGCGGAGCAATCTGTGGAGCTGGAAGCTGA